GTAGTCCTTCCTGTGGTCCTTCCTGTGGACAAAAAAAAACATTAGCCAGCGGTGTGTCCTGCTGTAAATCATGTGATTAGATCAACCCCGATTAACCCTCTGCTGTGGAAAAAGTGATGTAGATGTTAGCGCAGCGCATCTGTATGAACACTTTCTCACAGTGACCTCTGCACTGTAAACAATACAAGGTCATTAATAACACACTGCTGGTAAATTCACAAAGACACAGAAAGTGGCATTTAAAAGGTTAAGTCAGCACGGCCCAAAAGCCCATGCAACCTGTTGCTGTCACCTTTCTGCTCCTGTAAAAAGAAACATACATACATCCACCCTTTTGTCACTCTGGGTGGAGGTGCAATCTTGCATACTGGTGTCAAGTCAGCCAAAGCTTTTGTCAGTCCAGTCAGTCCCCATTTTTTATTTGCTGACAGTAGAACCTCTCGTGACGCAATGAGTTTCTACTGCCAGCAATGACGTCATTTCAAAAAAGAAAAAGAATTTAGACTGGATTACCTCGCTGAATCCTTTTTGGCAGGGACTTGTTTTCTGATTGTCCCAAATAAGTGGCTTTCTCCCGAGCCCATTTTAATTTTGGAGAAGCTCACTTGCGATTGTTCAACATGTTGTGTAGCGCTTTCGATTCCGATCTTGCAGGCCTGCTTGAAAAAGAGAAAATTGCCAAACAAAAAATCTCAGTGCACTGTTAAAAATCAAAAAAATATGAAGGCCTCTTTTTAGAAGTTGTCTAAGCGTACTCTCTTAGAATGATAGATCAAAATACAACTGGTAGGTTAAAAGTGGTACCAAAAGAAAATGCATCAGCCACGTAAATCCCCAAAACATTCATCCACCAGTCACACACCTCACACAACAGCAATATTCTATTAAATGATGAGTTTTTGCAAGGGCGTAGATTTGGTTTTGGCATTGGTGGGGACGGATGATTCAATCACTGAACTCTGCCCTGTTTCTTTTCCTTTTTGTTTTTGCTTCTTAATAAAAAGAGGAGAAATATACTTGCCTACTTATGCTATTCTACATGCTTTTAAACCATTTAAAATCACAATTCATAGTTTTATATGTGTCACGGTTTACCGGGGCAAGCCGTGTGGAGGTGGAGAAAGGACCCAAAAGGCAGCAGCTCTGGTGCAGGTGAGTGTTTATTTACAGCAGTGGGTACAAACAGCAACGGGGTGTGAACATGAAACCGAAAACCTAAACTGGGTAAACTAACAACACAAACCAGGAATGACGGTGCAGGGAGATCCGGGGAAATACACATGAAGAGACGCAGGGAGACCGAGGGGAAACAACACAGACGAACCAGCAATTACTATGACAGAAGACACAACTTAAATACACTCAGAGAACACAGGGAGATTACATACAGGTGGGAACACAGCTGGGAGTGATTAACATGACGAGACTAGGGAGGCAAACTGAAAACACTCACATAAGACACAGACCTTCACAATAAAACAGGAACTTACACAAGAAAAGACACAAACTAAGAAACGCGGACTAGATACAGGAACACACGGGCAGAACAGAGTAAACACTAACCAGAGAAAGAACAGAACCACAATCACGAAGAGAAAACACAAAACGCTGGGTCAAAAGGACCCAGGATCATGACAATATGTGAATTATATAATGTTAAATTACTATTAAACAAATGACTGACTAAGTATTTTAGGCTTTAGTTTACTTCAGCCATATTCCATATAAATCAGGTGACATACAAAAATAAAAATAGCTTCAAATACACTCATGACAATAAAAGAATATGACTTTAAGGACTTAACAACATTACTTCAGTTATAGTACACCAACATCTCTGACACATTAGCACTAAGGGAACACTGACTGACCTGGTGGTTTTTGGCCATAAAACTACTCATGTAAGATTACCACAAAGTAAAAGATCTCTCAGCAAAATTATGCAATATTTTAGGCACTATTGCCCTCTATCAGATCAGTGAGCTGGGATCTTTTATTCTAAACATGAACTACTGTTACAGCAACAGACATGGACTACTGGTGCCCCACACAACAACTCAATGTCCACTATGTGAAGCAGCCAAACACATGCCCGCTCCTCTCGTTAGCTGAAATGAACTGCTGGCATATTGGTTTTACATCTATACTGTCCAGTCTCTCCTGGTGGACATGGCATACAGCGGCATTGTTTAATCTCATTTGAGTCATTGTTGACCTTAGCCATGTTTTTAGTCTTCTGAGAGCACTGAAGCTTCTTTCAGCCTCAGTACATGCGTTTTATCCTCAGATTAAAATTATTATTCTGTGCTTGATGTGCCTCACCTTTGGCCCTGGCTCTTCCCCTCTGACTACACTAGGACATATTGCCACCTGATAAAATAACGCATGGATTCGTGCCATATAAAAAGTGAGACATGTCAATTCAGATTCTTTGTCAAATATACACTAATGAATCAATTTACATCAGCAGCCTAACAGTTGTCATGATAATAAATACTAGTTAATCTACAGCACCAAATCATCAGTCAGTCACCTGTGACCTCGCCTCTTCACCTCTGTCCGAGCTACAACATAGCAGAGCTGCCTCTGTCACCTGATAAATAACAGTGAGGCATTCCAAATACATGCAGTCACACATGTGCTTCAAATACAGTCATGAACCACCAGGTCATCATCCAATTTCACCTGTGATCTTGTATCACCTTTGCTCTCTAAGCTCTGTGTTGGTTCTTCTGTCACCTGACAAACAGGACATACATGACAATAAGAATAAAATGTGGAGCTGCTTCAGTGTTTCTGTCAATTTGTGCAGATCTTGACTCATCAGTAATGTTTGTAGGCTGAGTGCATTTTTAAAACAATTTGTGCAAACTGCACTACAAGGTGGATATTTGCAAAATCATGACTACCTCAGGATATTTTGTCTCAAAAATTAACCCAATGAATATGTCAGTACCATTAGGATGAAATTATTGTGTCACCAACATTTTAATATTAGACATATAATTTTAACAGCCTCTGTAAACTAATATCCTGGCTTGCTCAAAGCTGCAGTTTTCTCTGACAGTTTCAATCAAAATTAGAAATGCTGCTCTGGGAGACTGAGATAACTAACAGTGCTGCCTGTTGTTGGGTTTGTTTTTCTTTACTCGAAGACATCAAATTATTGGTGGGGACAATTCAATAATCGCTGGATATTGGTGGGGACATGTCCCTTCCGTCCATGCCAAATCTATGCCCTTGAGTTTTTGTTTCCCCCATGTACCCAGATGTGTGTCATGATATGACCTCCCCCACACATCAGAAGCAAGAAACTCAATAATCTATTAGTCTCCACTCATCTGACCCTCCTGCAGCATTCTGTTCACCCCTGCAATGATTCAATCATCCTTCCCCAAAAATAATAGTTCACTAGTCTATGTATCACCTTTTAACCTACTAAGTGAACCGGACAAGATGATGGTAACAGAAATGCATGGTTAAAAATACTGTTTGATCTTCATGAGCTTCATTGCATGTGTGTATGTGTTAGTAGGATTAATGCATTTTTCTGTTTGTGTAATTTTTGTGTACCTCTCCTCTTTGCGGTGCTCCAGACACTCTTCAATTCTCCACACAAGGCAGTCGTTTTTTCTTGAAACCCAAATTTCATTTCCCACACTAAAACAGCCTTCCTCCATGTCCTCCCCTGCTCCTTCCACTGTGGTCTCATCTCATCTCCCCCCCTTGCAGCAGTCCAACTATTCACATTTCATCTTTTAACTATTTAAATTTTCAGCTTTTCCTTTTTAAACAAATTTAAAGTGAAACAACACAAAACACTGCAAACCACAACACAATTAAATATAAATTAAAATATGAAAACAAAAAGAAGATGCACATTCTCTGTCATATGGACCTGCATGAATAAACTTTCGGAATCCTTTATCATCCGCAACTGAAAATAGTTGTGGATGATTACTATACCTTTTTAATGTGATGTTGTTGTCCCTGGCTCTCTTTCTGTCTCTTTCCCTCCCGCTCTGTTCCTGTGCTACTGCAAGTGTAACTACCGCCCCTCCCCCCTCTGCTCAGCGCAAAGCACAAGGCTTGTGTGTGGAGTGAAGCGGAAAAAAAGTGCGAGAGAGAGGGTGAGACAAAGGGGAAAAAAAACCCATGGCTCCTGTTGTCCGGCTCACTAGAATGGACTGGAGCCTCCTGCTTGAGGGGAGCAGTGTTTCATCTCATGTCCTACTGCTTTAGTCTGTGTAAACAAAATATGAGTAAAACATTACCAAGCCAGATTATATTTGGCATATTTTAAAAATAGAGTACATTACGGTGAAATCTGCTGTCAATTTGACATTTATATTTACCCTTTTAAAACACATTTTAGTTATATACATCAGACAAACTATTTGTAGAGCACTTAAATGTTTAATATTGTTTTTATAGTTGTACTGATAAGCGTTGATCACCAACAGCTTCATTAATTTTTTTTTTTTTATTAAACCTTTATTCATCCAGGTAAAAAAAATCTCATTAAAAATCTAATTCCCAAGAGAGATCTGGCATCGTGGCAACAAAAGTCACATACCACATAGGTATATAACATTTAAAACAAATACAATATCCCATACCACCATGTGTAAAATATACAATAACAGATCAAATTAAGAGTACATTAAAAACAATCACACTGAGTAAAAGAGCTGTTCACTTAAACTCTCCCAAGGTAACCAATTCTGATCATTTCAGTTCCTTCTGCAGATTATTCCAGGAAGCAGGGGCAGCATATTTAAAAGCCTTTTTCCCCAATTCTGTTCTGATTTTTGGGACAATCAATTGTATGATTTTGTTCGAACGAAGGCTTTATTGGTTGTGGTTTTTACACATATAAACACATAAATAAGATGGAACCAGCCATCTTATTTATGTGGATGAACTGGACGGTTCCAGGGAAACTATTAGGATCACTTGCCTCTAGTGGTCACTGTAAGTAACTACAACTCTACACTTGCAAGAATTAAAGATATTTTTTATTGCAGAAAGATGGAACAAAATTTTGTTTCACTCACTGGCAAACAATGGCAAGAGATAAAAATAGTTTGTTAAAAAAAGACAAAAATGGTAACAATAAAAAGAAATACAAACGACAGGATTATGATCAATACAATACACAGCAAATGACAGTGATGTTGCCATGGTGACCACTGCCATATATATATATTTAGTATTTCTGTTACCTCCCTTGTCTTAAACGTCAATATTGGCTGTGTTTCATTTTACTAATGAGTCCACTCTCTTCCCTGTCTTCCTCATGTTTGAGATTCTCTGAGAGAGGATTTAAGAAAGGGCTTTGATGATGGCTGGCTATAGCTCAGGAGATAGAGCAAGGTATCTAATGATCAGAATGTTGGTGGTTCAATCCCTGGCTGCTCCAGTTGGCATGCAAAATATACTTGAGCAAGATACTAACCCTCTCCATCATCCATCAGAGTATGAATGTGTGCAGAAAAGTGCTAAACAAGAATCTGTTTATTTACCATGAAAATATCAAAATAGAAAGCGATGTCAGTTATGGTGGACTGCACAGCCAGATCACATGACCAACTGAGTGGTACAAATAACAGGAAACCTTCTCTTATGGCGTTAATAATCATTTGAATTGATAACTTATGATTTGCAGACTGTTTTATATCTTTTCATTGTCATCTGTACCACAGAAAAAAATCATATTGGAAAATATAATATTTATATCTAGTTTCTAAAGGATGGTTTAATTCTCCAAATGCCACCACTGACATGTTAAAGTTGAGTTATTTCATCATTCTAAATGTACTGAAAATAAAATATCAGCATCTTTCATACATCTCATGATGTGTTTCTGACTGAAAGAGCCAAATATGTACAGACTGAGCTGTTTCTCTAACAGGGGAACGCTAACTACACAGAGTCACTGACTCAAAGTCAAATAATAGTTTATTCAAAGGAGGGCCATAAATGTCGATAATACCCTTTGCCAAACCATCCGATGGAGCCCAGAACCCAAATCCAGGATAAAGAGGTTCAGTGAATGTGGTGTTGAAGGTGTGGAGGTGGATCAGAGTGTCAGAGGAGACTCTGTAGAAGGACAGAGTGCCAGCAGGACAGTCCACATACACTGCTGCTCTGTTAGAGACAGAGGAGGAGGAGGCGGACGTTTTTATGCTTCTGTGCCAGACAGAATGAGCATCATTAGAGCATCTGAGACTCCAGGACTGATCATTTAAACCAAACACACACTCATCACTCCTTCCTTTCCTTTTGATTCCTCTGTAACTCACTGATAACCAAGCCGTTCTTCTCCACTCAACCTCCCAGTAACAGCGACCTTCAAGCTCATCTTTACACAGCAGCTGAGGATACCAGTCAAATCTGTCTGGATGATCAGGATATAATGGAATCGATAAAACACGTGTCACCTTCCTGTTGTTGTCAGACAGTTTGAGGTTTCTGTTCACTGTGTTTGTGTCGATTGTGAGTTGACAGGAATCTGATGGAGAAACAAACACAATCCAGCTGCAGTTATTGATCCATCATCTGTTCATTGATTGACACTTTGATGATGACTTTTGACATCAGAGATGTGAATGAGTGATGTGACAGTTTGAAGGTGGTTGAATGTTTCCGTTTTTTTTTTATGAATCACATTAAAAACACACTTACACTTCCTCAGACCTGGTGTCAGCCATCGGACTCCAGCAGGCTCCACCCTGAAAGGAGGAGGGGGGTCAGACCAGCACAGTCTCTTTCAGCATGCACACGTGGACATTACATCGCTCTCATACAAATACTGATAGACACTGATAAAGGAAAAATCCAACTTTTTGACACATACACTTGAAGAAAATGTCTAAACTTCAAAAGAGCAAAAATGATTAGCACATTACATCATAATCTTTATTATTAAGCATGATGTCCAGAGAGCATTCAACATGTGCCACAGTCACAGTCAATTTCAACACACTGTGACATTCATTCATGCTGTCAGGGAGTGAGTACATATTAAACATAAAGACTGGGACTGGGTACCAAAAAAATGATTTAGTACAGGTAGAGTGCAGCAGCCAGTGCATCACATATTTTGAGCTACTGTAGCGGTCATAGAATATGATGTGATCCTCATGATCATTAGTGTATCCTTTGCTATCTTTGCTATTGCTTTTACAAAGGTTATGCTTCAGTCAGGATGGAATAATTCATAGATTTTATTTACTAGCTCCACGTATTAGAACACAAATCTGCAATTCCATGCTTTAGTCTGTAAACAATTATAACTGTAATAAATGAGACATGATACAACATGCCATTGTGATATGACACAAACAGCAGGAATAGCCAATGAGCTTAATTTACCTAAAATTAAGTCAACATTCCTGCTTCCTGCCACTCATTCTGAGAAGAGTTCCTCTTTCATCACCCTATAAAATCATCTATTATTTTTTTGTTCAGACTCTGTCTCTGTCTTCTCTCTGTTTGTTCTAAATTGACAATATCAGTGACTCTGTGACCTGTTAATTAACAGGTATGTTGTATTTTTCTGCATGTGGATGATCACTGAGGGACCTGCTTGCTTTTCATTTTCCCATCTGTGATGTGCTGCTACTTAACCTGAATGTGAATGGCAAGAATTCATAAATAATCAGATCAATGTGCAAACAGAAGCAGTTGCAGTTAAGACAAAAGGAAGCAATTGTCACTTCACTTTTCATTTGTTTCTGTTTTTGTATTCTCTTGCTCTGTTTCACTCACTCTCATTCTCATACTTGTCGTTTTCGGATTGCTTCTGTCCTCTGGCTGACCTTTATGATGTATAGATTTATTTCATATTCTCCTAACTGTATATAACAGTATATATCCTAACAAATATTTGTACATTTGAGAGTTCAGTTGAGCACAGTATGTAATGTCAGTGATATTTCACAATATGATGTATCACAGCATCACACTAAAATAATTATAGCATATGTTTACATGTTCCTTTTGTATGTGTGTTTAAAGGCTCATCATCTTCATTTATTTATGCAAAAATATCAATAACATTTGACTGAAGTGCTGGTTGGCTGCAGGACCACCGTGCAGGCTCTTTCTGGAGCTCTCAATGGCACAGTACATATCCTGCAGTGCAGGCTGCAGGGTAACAGGTTGTTAATGCTAGACCGGCTTTACAGTCAAAAACACCCACTAGTCTGGGCCTAACACCCCAACCGGTGACCCAGTTTGCTCCACCAGCTCCATTCCATTGTTCCTTAGTATTCGTTTTCTGCTGTAATTATTATTTCTTATTATAATTGAATTTGAATTTCAACCAAAGTTAATTAACTTTGACTTTATGTAACTGTGACTGTGTCATCACAAAGTCCAGAAGATCAATTTGATATTTTAGCACAAACAAGTCTCAGATGTAAACGCTCAGAAGCAGCAAACTAGCAATGCAAAGCCTATTTTTGTAGGTGGCCAGTTAGGTTGAGTGACCTAGTAATCCATTTATATTAACAATTCTTTTTTTCTAAGCTAGGCAAACAACCCTAATTCTTCCCCTAATTCTAGTTTATGCTAGAATTAGGGGAAGAATTAGGGGCTAAACATGTCCTGGGCGTGGTCTCTACACACAGATAAAACTTAATCTAAATAAAGGTCAGAGAGTAAAGATGTAAGTTCCTTTCCACACATCAGTTAGAACAGGTTGCACCATTGTTGTTGATAGAAAATTTGCCCTTTGAGACCCCATACAGACATCTACTGTTTATGTTAGACCAGAATGGGAAAAATGTTCCTACATGTGTGATTATTCAAATTACACTAGTTTCCAGCATTAAGTAATCAGACAGGGTCAGTTTCCTCATCTATCAGACAGTGTTTGTGGTTGTAACGGCCATCTACATACCTCAGAGTGTCCAGTCTTAGCTGCTCAAGCATCTTCACTACTGCCTCTCCTGGATTATTGTAGCTCAGGTCCAGCTCTTTCAGATGGGAAGAATTGAGGCTAAAAGCTGAGACCAGAGACTTGCAACCTTCTTCTGTGATCAGGCAGCCTGACAGCCTGTAGACATGACAAATACTCTTAGAGAATAGCAACACAGCTAAATGCAAACAGAAAAATTGCAGCCAAAAATCATTAAAAAATGACATGACTGAAGCAGTAGTTAAAAATAGCCATTAGTCAATCTAAACCTTAAAATCTGCAAATGATAAAAAATTAATGAAATAAAAATTAAGACAAAAAATACATAAAGTAGGGCTGAGACTGTTTCGGGTGTCATCAGCTTTGTTGCTTTTTGGTTCTAATGAAAATATTGGGCAAGCGAGACGTCTGACCAGATTATGACAGCAAATTAAGTCTATATTATAAAAGTCTTTATATCTTATATTACCTTGTGAGGACAACAAAAACATCTGAAATAAATATGTTCAATATGTTGGACAACTTCCAACACTTTATTTATACGTTTTTCATTTTTTGATCAGATAAATCGCACAGATTAGGATGAACAATATAATACAGTAGATAATTTAAATCACAACAGAAAGCCCTGCATTGCTTAAAGATTTGAAATAGTCATCTATTGACCATTTTAAGAATGCTGACCTGAGTGTTTCCAGTTTACAACACAGACTTTCTAGTCCAGAAGACAAAACTTTCACTCCAGAGTCCTTCAGGTCATTGTTACTCAGGTCAAGCTCTCTCAAACTGGAAGGCTGGGAGCTGAGAAGTGAAGACAGAGTTTGACAGCTTCTCTCTGAGAGATTACAGACACTCAATCTGTAGAGACAATAATGAGAAAAATAACAGCATGTTAAATTTTGTGGTCTGCACCTTTGAAAAAAAATATGATCTTGATAAAATATAATCTTAATTAATTAAACATGTTATTAAATAATTTATTAAATGTCATTAATTTAATTTAAAACAGTTATTAAATTATTTATTTCCAAATTAATTAATCAATGAGACATTTAATTAATAATTATATATTTAATTAATCAATTTTTGAAATATTAAATTAATTATTTAATGATGTATTTACTTAATTCATTTTAGCACTCCTGGCCCTGCTGGTTTGTTCATTAATTAATTTCATTTGTCACCCATCAAAGTCAAGGGGTGGGGTTAACACTGCCACTCCAGCTTGTGTAACATCTTATTGCTTACCGCGCACAGTAAATGAAGACAGTTTGATCTTAGACAACCAATTGCTATGGACTGGCGGTAGTGTTGACTTGGGACAACCAGGTATCTCAGAATGCATTTCAAATCACAAGCGGTAATGGTGCTGCTATAAACTGTAAATAGTGATGATGTGATGAAGCCCCATGAATGTGTCGAATCTTTCTGGCCAATTGCTTCACCAAAAGGCAGATCACACGAAGCCTTGTTTAACCGCTAATTTGGAAGTACTGACACCTGCTGGTCCTTCGATGTACAGCAGCCCTGTGATTTGATCTGATGCTCATATGTGTTAGACTGGAATTCTATGACACTGATAACTATAAATATGATAACTTTAAATTAACTAATTCGTACATTTCTTTTGTAATGAAAAATGTAAAGAGTCATATCGCCGGTAAGTTATGCCATCTGTTTAATTCACAGTAGCTTTTCCAGTAAGTATGGTAACCACAGACACTGATCCAGGCCAGACTTTGGGGAGTACCCCTCATGTCTCTTTGAAACTAAAAAAACAGTCATTCATGACAGTCAGCTGTGAAGCGAGTTCATTGATTGTCTTCTGCATCGATGAAAATGTCTCTCCTGTTTATCTCTCAATTCGCATTTATTATAGCAATTATATCATGTTTTATGTGCAGTATAGATATAGATAGTCACCAATTACCATTAATTGCTAACCTTCTAGAAGAGGTTGTGGCTAAGCAACTTATAGCAGTTCTAGACAAACACAGCCTTTTTGACAAGTTTCAGTCCAGCTTTCAGAGAGTTCACTCTACGGAAACAGCCCTTCTTAAAGTCTCTAGTGACATTTTTATGAGTAATGATGCAGGAAAATGTTCTGTTCTGCTCTGTTCTGGACCTAACATCGGCTTTTGACACAGTTAACCACACCATTTTGCTTGAAAGGCTAAAATATTGGGTTGGTATATCTGGAACTGCCTTGGAGTGGTTCTCCTCATAGTTACATAACCAATGTTTTTCTGTGACGGTCTCTTATTTCAGGTCATCCTCTACCTCCCTTACTTACGGTGTCCCTCAAGGTTTTGTTTTGGGGCCTTTATTGTTTTTAATATAGCTTCTTCCCCTCCAACGTATAATGAACCCCTCCGAGGACATTTCCTATCACTGTTATGCTGATGAGATGCAGTTATACATTTTTTAAGCCCCAAGATTTATCTAAGCTCCAGTTTCTGAATGACTTCTTAGATTCGATCAAACGTTGGATGGCTGTTAACTTCCTCAAACTTAATGAGGGGAAAACTGAAGTCCTTGTATGCGCTCCTGACAGATTTTTACCCCAGATAGTGTAAGCCCTTGGTCCTCTTTTGGTCTATGTTAAATCCTCTATCAGGAATTTAGGTGTAACTTTTGACTCGACTCTCACATTGGATGGTCATGTCAAATCTCTGGTTCGGTCTTGTTTTTATCATTTAAGAAATGTTGCTAAATTAAGATGTATTGTATCTCGCTCTGAACTGGAGATTGCTATACATACATTTATTTCTTTATGCTTGGACTACTGTAACTCACTTTTTATTGGCTTCTGACCAAAAGATGAGAACTAAAGGTGATAGAGCTTTTGCCACTGTGGCCCCTGTTGGAGTGATTTTGATAAAAGTTGTCATTGTTGTACTTAAAATTGTAAACCTTGTCCTGAACTGCATGTTCAGATATTTTTCTGTCCCTCCTCTACATGTAGGATGATGGGGAGGCAATAGCTATAGTGTTTAATTGCAGGCACATTCTATGTAAGGTTCTGGTTTGCTTATTTAGTAAGGCATGTTTACTTCCTTCCATTTATGGGCTCACCTGTGCTTGTATATGGTGGACCATTAAAGGAGTTGAGCCATATAGGGGAGATGTACGGTGGCCCTGAGAGGCCAAACGGACTGCAACTTCAGAAAACACTTGCAAAAAGAAAAATGCTGCAAAAAGGAAAACGCTGCAAAAAGAAAGACGCTGCACTGCAACTTCGAGAAAAACGCTGCACTGCAAAAAGAAAAACGCTACAAAAAGAAAGACGCTGCACTGCAATTTCAAGAAAAACGCTGCACTGCAAAAAGAAAAATGCTACAAAAAGAAAGACGCTGCAAAAAGAAAAGCGCTGCAAAAGCACACAAAGCACAACGGAAATAGGAAAAAAGACAACGGAAATGTTCCTGGGGAGACAATAACCCGACGGACCAGTTGCACGAACCAAAACATGCTAACCAGTGCGCTAGGACTGGGAGACACTTCAAAGAAGTGGAGGAGAGGTAAATATGTTGTAATCTCATGATTCTAATAATACTACAGATATCTGGATTATATATTCAAAGATAATTCTAACAAAGGTAATGTTTAATGTAGCCTTAGAAATGAAGCTTTTTTAAACTCGAGAACAAATACTAATAAGTCAAAGTCATTAAGGAATATTGCAGTTAATGTGTTCAGGTTTTAATTTGGCATTGCCTTCATCAGGCAATGTATTGTCCATATTGTGGAATCCAGCTAGTGGGGCAAATTGGAGTTTTTTGTGGGTCCTGTGGAACTAACATTCAAGTTTTAGCACCTTTTATAGAGAATGGTAAGCACTTCACTTTCCTAAGTTCTAGTATTTATTGCTCACCTTTTAATTGCTTCATAATGACTTATATACACCACAGTAGCTTCAGTATTGCGTGTTAAACTTTTTTTGGGGGGGATTATTATTGATGTGCCATTCCAAAGTACTATATTCATTTGCTTATTCTAAGGTTTTTGTATTGTTAAAGACTCTGTATGCAAAGATAAATCAGAATTCCAAAAACGAAAAGGCATGAACTGGTATGTACTAAGAACTGTATTCTGGTTTAAGCCTGCCACCGGTTCTATGGCATAATTTTAAAAACTAGTTTATGACTTAATAGGGCATATGTACACAGTGACGAAATTCTTCTAACTTCTCTAATTTTGCTCATTTTGAGTTGTCAGCATAGAGGTCTTAATGAGAGTGATAAGTCCTGAATCCTGGTCCATGTTCTTTGAGCTTTTGCTGGCCTTTATTTAAGCACACATCAAGAAGATTAAATACTTGAGTCATGTTTATTGAGACTTGTTTCAGATGTGGTATTTTTTTTAAAAACACTTATTAAGTGCATTTGTGGATTCCTGCGGTCGTAATTATCTTTTCATGTTTTCTCTTCAACCTTAGGCCCAGTCTCAGTCACAGACATCATCAATAAGTATTTCTCTGAGGGCCATACATATGAAGTGATCCTGGATTTTCTTGAAAACAAGCATAATATTTGTATGAGTCTGAGAACATTAAAGAGGAGGCTAAAAGATGCTGGAATGACTAGAAGGACTGACTTTACTCCCACTGACATTGTCATTTCCACTGTTACACAAGAACTGAGAGGCTCAGGTCAGCTTCTGGGTTACAGATCCATGTGTCAGACACTGCGACAAAAGTATAATCTGAAAGTTAAAAGAAATGATGTAATGCACATACTCTCAAGACTAGATCCATATGGTGTTAAGCGTCGCTGTAAACGCAGGTTTGTTCGAAGAGGATATTTTTCAGAAGGACCAAATCAAGTGTGGCATGTGGATGGTTATGATAAGCTGAAGCCCTTTGGTGTTGCTATTAGTGCATGTGTCGATGGATTTTCAAGGAAAGTTATGTGGCTCAGCTGTGGCAGCTCAAATAATGACCCAGGTATCATTGCAAAATATTATATGGAGTGCTTGTCACAGTTTGGTCAACTTCCAGCATGCCTTCGTACAGACTGTGGCACAGAAAATGGCACAATGGCAGCCATTCACTGTGCTTTAAGATCAGACCATGGAGATGAACTTGCAGGAGCCCACAGTCATATGTATGGTACCTCAACTACAAATCAACGGATTGAAAGTTGGTGGTCTTCGTTCAGAAAGCAAAGGTACATGGCTTTTAAAATATATTCTGAAACTAAAATTGAATGGTTCTGAAGGTGTTTCGTGGTCAGCGATATACTTTTTTTTGTGGGTGGGGTTTTATACTCAAATATTAAATTACAGTCACAAACAAAGAAAGAAAAACATAGTCACCTACACATTTTTCTCATGTGATGCACAACTGCTTCAAAATATATAATAAATGGTTTGGTATACCAGTGACATTTGTTTGTATTAAAACAACTCACTCAAAAAGAAAATCCTACTCAGACATTCCACAAAAGTCCTAAAAAGGAACTATAAAAAACAACAAACAAACTGACATTCAACATTTTAATAAATTTTTATAAATCCTAGAGGCAATGGCATCAGTAAAGATTGATGTATTTAAAATTGAGTAAAATTTATTCAAATTTGTGTGCCTACGTAGTACCAAACTAACATCTAGATCAAATAGTTTACCTGTAGGGAGTCATATAAATAAAAGAACAAGGGTTTCTTCAAATTTGAGAACTGTAATATTAGTAATTTAAGAACATTGATCCAACATGACAGAAATTTGTTAGAGGAGGTCATTCGTTTCAGACATTTCTTCGACTTTGTGTGCCAAAAAAAAATACTACTGTTTTCACTAGCTTTTGGATTTCTGTGTGGTATCTAACAAGTGATAACAGCTTCAGTGTTCATGGAGAAACAAAATAGTACATTTATATGGACAGATCTGTATATTACAACTTTTCTTAAGTTCAACCGCCAAATGCAGGAATAACAGAAGGATTAATCATTTTGTTAAATTTTGTTATTTGTGTGAAGTTGCTTTTGTTTTCCTGCAGTGCATTGATGAAACACTTCAAAACATGTGAATAAGCTTTTCTTTGAACGAAATTGCGCACATTTCAATATTCTTAAGATTACGACTTTTTTTTAAAGAGGACAATTACATTGAATCACTTGTGTTATTAAATTTTATATGCCTTGTCATTCCACCATTAGAACTCAGTTCTGGAAGGGAGGAAAGGATCTTTTGTAAAACAATCCCTATAATTGGACAAATTAAATAACTGAAAACAAAATGTTAATTTCTAATGCTTGAAACCCCTTTGCTGGCAATGACAGTCTTGAAGTCTTGAACTCATAGATATCACCAGATGCTGGGTTTTCTCCTTTTTAATGCCCAGTGACTTTACTGCAGTGACTTTCATTTGCCGTTTGTTTGTTGGCCTTTCTTTTTTTTAATTCAAAACATTTTTATTGAGTATTTGTGGATATAGTTTATAAAGAAAAAAAGAAGACGAAAAACACAAACTGTTTACAATGAATACAAAACAGAATTTCTCATGTTGGAACATTGTTTTCCTCTCTTATTATTTACCAAACAAGCAATGAGAAAAAAGAAAAAGAACAAAAACAGAAAACAAAAAGAGAGATCCCCCCCCCCCCCCCCCCAAAAAAACAAAAAACAAAAAAACAACAACCCCATAAGAGCCACACAGAAGTTAGCTACACCATCACTGAGCTCCACGTTCCCGTTAACACAGACAGACATCTGACCACTATGGAGAAGCAAATCCGTTAGACAGCTGGAACATCCTTAAGTTGAAGTTAAGAGAAGTTGTCCAGAAAGAGACATTTGTTGGCCTTTCTGTCTGTAGTTTAGTCTTCAACAAGTGAAATCCATGCTCATTTGGGTTAAGATCAGGTGACTGACTTGGCCTTTCAAGATACTACCACTTCTTTGCTTTGATAAACTCCTGGGTTACTTTGGCTGTTTTGGGTCATTGTCCAACTGTATTATGAAACACCACCCAATCAGTTTGACTGCATTTATGTGAGCAAACAATACATCTCTGAACACATCAGAATTTATTCAGCTGCTTCTGTCCTGTGTCACATCATCATACTTTTTTTTCTAGCCATCATTCTGGTAGACGGTGTTCTTGGTTTCATCTGTCCAAAAAACATTTTTTGTGCTGGCTTTTTTAGAGTCCAATCTAGCCTTTCTATTCTTGAGGCTTATGAGTGGCTTGCACCTTGCAGTAAATGCAGTCATTTGTTTATGGTAGCCTTGAATATCAATACGCTTACCTCGTGGAGAGTGTTTGTTTACATTGTTGGATGTTGTAAAGGGGTTTTTCTTCAACATGGAAATCATTCTGCAGTCATCCAGCACTATTGTCTTCCCTGGACGTCCTAATATTGTAGCAATTTCTCAGATAGGCTTAAGGATGGCTTGTTTCATGGAGAGCTCCTTTGACCATATGTTTTCTGTTCACAGCAAAATCTTCCAAATGCAAGCACCACACCTCAAATCAACTCCAGGCCTTTTATCTGCTTAATTGATAATGACATAAAGAAGGAATTGCTCACACCTTCCCATGAAATAGCTTTTGAGTCTTTTAGTCCCTTTAAAGTAGCTGAAACTCCTAAATCCTTCATCCAATTTGAATATGAGTACCCTCAAATAAAAGCTGAGAGTCTACATATTATGTCCATGTTTCCATTATATAAATAATTAAATATATATATATATATATATATATATATATATATATATATATATATATATATATATATATATATATATATATAACTAAACAGGTAAAAAAAAAGAAAAGAAAATTTGTGTCTTATAAGTGTGTGCAAGGGGAATGCACTGCCCACTGTACTAAAATCCACTGAAGTGCAATCTGTGTGTCACATTGTCAAAGGAATGCGCATGTATGAATTTGGGAATTTAGAAAATGTATAAATGTTGCTCTACTTGATTCTGATCTGCTGCTGAATCTCTTTTATGCTGATGGAAATGTAGAGTTTGATCTGTGACACACTGAAACATTAATCTCTTATTGGGCTCTTCAGTGTCTCCAAGAACCTGGGCCTGTTGCATGAAGCCTTGTATGCATGCTGGATGTTTGTGTAAACAAGGTATAACATGTTGTCCCCTCTTGTTGCAAAGTCAATGTTCCGATGAAATTTGGGTAGAACTGATTTAAGTTTTGCATTATTAAAATCCCCAGCGACAATGAGGAAGCTGTCAGGGTGGGCTGTTTGCAGATCACTGATAATCTTGTAGAGTTCACAAAGTGCTCCACTAGCTTTAGCATTAGCACTAGCACTAGGTGGGATGTAAACAGCAACAATGATCACCACAGTAAACTCTCTTGGGATATAAAACGCCTGCATCTGACTGCTAAGGCCTCCACAAGTTCTAAAAATTGCACAGACACAATTGGAGCATTCCTACTCCAGCTGTTATTGAAGTAAACACACAGTCCATCGCCATGTGTCTTGCCGATGATAGGGGGTCTCTGTCGGCACGGTAGCTATCTAGCCATTTAGCTGGATAGCGTGGTCTACGATGCCTCCGTGTAGCCATGTTTCAGTAAAAATAAGAACAAAGCAGTGCCTTGTTTCTTTCCTGGAGTTTATTTGTAGTCTCAAACAGTCCAGTTTGTTTTCTATGGAGCACATGTTGGAGAGTAGTGATGGAAGCGCGGTATACCGGCATGGATACCGGCTCGCTTACTGCACTTCCACTTCCTCGCCGACACCGTTTTCGATGGACTTCCAGGCGGACGCTAAGATGTGGTGGTGCCGTAGCCCATCTGTTCAGAGCTTGCAGAATGCTGCAGCAGCGCAATTTCTCCACTTTGTCTCCATCTGGTTGAGTTTAATGGTGTTTTCCTAAATCCAAAAGTTGTTGGTGGTTATAGAAGTGTTTGACTGTAGTTCCGACGTACATTACAGCTATATAATGAACCAGGACTCAAGTAGAACTTGAGTAAAAACACAAAAATTGCACCATGATTTCGACACGGTGTGGCCGCTGCGACCTAGCACACCACCATCATGGTATTTACCGTAATACCATACCAAGAGTAAGGATATGTCAGTACAAAAACTAAATGTAGCTTTTATGTTGCAGATTTCAAGTCAAATCATAAACAACAATATCTGACCTGAGTGTTTCCAGTTTCCAGTTTGTAGTCTTCAGTCCAGAAAACAGTATTGTCAAACCTGAGTCTTGCACGTTGTTGTTACTCAGGTCTAGAGCTCTGAGCTCACAGTCTTCTAGTTGAAGAGAGGAGGACAGAGCTTCACATGCTCTCTCTGACAGGTTACAGCTATTCAGCCTAAAAAGATATATGTATAATAAGAAGAATGGAATAGCAAGAGTTTTCTGTTTGTAAACTGAATTTAAATTATAAAAACATCATGACTTACAGAGCTTTTTTAGAGGCTTTGACAACTGGCAGCAGCCTCAGAAGAGCTTCCTCTGAAGCAGAGTATTTCTTCAGGTCAAACACATCCAGATCTTTTTCTGATGACAGTAAGATGAAGACTAGAGCTGACCACTGAGCAGGAGACAGTTTATCAGTGGAGAGACTTCCTGAACTCAGGGACTGTTGGATCTCCTCCACTAGAGAACGATCATTCAGTTCATTTAGACACTGGAACAGGTTGATGTTTTTCTCTACAGACAGATTCTCACTGAGCTTGTTCTTGATGTACTGAACCGTTTCCCGATTGGTCTGTAAGCTACTTCCTGTCTGTGTCACCAGGCCTTGCAAACAAATTTTATTAGTTTTCAGACCCAAGAGAAAACGAAGGAACAAGTCCAGGTGTCCATTTGGGCTCTGTAAGGCCTTGTCCACAGAACTCTGATAGAAGTCGTTCTCTGTCTGAGAGCTTGTTTGTTGTTCTTCCAGCTGATTGACTCCGGAGTTGATGAAGGTCAGATGGACATGAAGAGCAGCCAGAAACTCCTGAACACTCAGATGGACAAAGCAGAACACCTTGTCCTGGTACAGTCCTCTCTCCTCTTTAAAGATCTGTGTGAACACTCCTGAGTACACCGAGGCCGTTCTGATATCGATGCCACACTCTGTCAGGTCTGATTCATAGAAGATCAGGTTTCCTTTCTGCAGCTGATCAAAAGCCAGTTTTCCCAGAGACTCAATCATCTTCCTGCTCTCTGGACTCCAGTGTGGATCTGTCTCAGTTCCTCCATCATATTTGATCCTCTTGACTTTGGCCTGAACCACCAGGAAGTGAATGTACATCTCAGTCAGGTTCTTGGGCAGCTCTCCTCCCTCTGTGGTTTTCAGCACATCCTCCAGAACTGTAGCAGTGATCCAGCAGAAGACTGGGATGTGACACATGATGTGGAGGCTTCGTGATGTCTTGATGTGGGAGATGATCCTGCTGGTCTGCTCCTCATCTCTGAATCTCTTCCTGAAGTACTCCTCCTTCTGTGGGTCAGTAAAGCCCCTGACCTCTGTCACCAGGTCCACACACTCAGGAGGGATCTGACTGGCTGATGCAGGACGTGTGGTTATCCAGAGGCGAGCAGATGGGAGCAGGTTCCCCTTGATGAGGTTTGTCAACAGTACATCCAATGAGGTGGACTTTCTTGTTTCAGTCAGGATTTTAGTTTTGTTGAAGTCCAAACTAAGTCGGCACTCATCCAGACCATCAAGAATGAACACAACCTGGAAGTCTTCCAGCCTGCAGATTCCTGATTCTTTAGTTTTAGTAAAGAAGTGATGAACAAGTTCCACCAAGCTGAACTTTTCCTCTTTTAGCACATTCAGCTCTCTGAAAGTGAATGGAAATATGAACTGGATTTCCTGATTGGCTTTGTCTTCAGCCCAGTCCAGAGTGAACTTCTGTGTTAAGACTGTTTTCCCAATGCCAGCCACTCCCTTTGTCAGCACCGTTCTGATTGGTTCATCTCTTCCAAGTGAAGATTTAAAGATATCTTCTTGTCTGATTGTTGTTTCTGGTCCCTTTGATTTCCTGGATACTGTTTCAATCTGTCTGATCTCATGTTCATCATTGACCTCTGCAGTCCCTCCCTCTGTGATGTAGAGTTCTGTGTAGATCTGATTCAGAAGAGTTGGGTTTCCTGCTTTAGCGATTCCCTCAAACACACACTGGAACTTCTTCTTCAGTTGGGCTTTAAGTTCACGTTTATAGAGTGGAGCAAATATTTCTGAAAATAAGTAATTCAGATAAATTAATTATTATATAATAAATATCATAGCCTTTCAGTACCCCGAAAGGATAAATGAGTGAATAGATATTGGTCCATTTCTTGAGATATTAGGAAAGATCAATATGCAATCTTTAGAGAAATTCTCTTACTGCTCTGCAGATGGTCAGCCATCTCATGCTGCTTAAGTCTCCTCAAGAAGTGTAATGTGATCTTCAGAAATGCTTCTCTGCAGCTCTTTCTTTGATCTTCATCCTCACCTTCAAACATCTCCTTATCCTCCCTCTGGCTTTTTATGGTTTCTGGGTCATCTGGACTCAGAACCTTTTTGGTTTTCTTCAGCTCATTCTTCACAAACATCATAATGTTGTCCTCCAGCCGCTGGAAAAGAAGACCATATGAGTTACCGAGCGGTCTTTCTATACAGGCGCTATGGAGAACATCCTCACACAGAACATTGCATCCTGGTATGGGAACAGCTATGTTAAGGACCAAAAAGCTATTCAGAAAGTGATCCGTACAGCAGAACGCTGCTGCAGGGCTGGCCTCCCCTCCCTACAGAACATTTACACCAGGAGATGCTGGACTAGAGCAGCTCAGATACTGAAGGACCTGTCCCATCCCAGCAATACACTGTTCCAACTTCTGCAATCATCTGAGCCCTGAGTCTCAGGCCATCCCCCCCATTCACAACGGCACAAGACACTTTAACACACCATTTAGAAAATGTACATTCTCAGATTTGAATGTAAATTTCCAGATTGTTTTATTTTATTTATATAATATATATAACTCACTCACTTATTGGATATAATGTCATCTTTGTATATATTCACTCCCAGTATATAATGTTCTCTCTCTCTTGTTTTTTTGCACAGTCGAGCGTATCATGTTACATTTCACTGCGTGTTGTACTTCTATAACTATGCAGGTGACAAATAAACAATCTTGAAATGCACTGGTTCTCATACAGCTCTTCTACACTCTGTGCATTCAGAGCACTTTATACAACATGCCACAACTTTAACACTCTGATGGTTGCATCAGAGAGAACTTTGGGTTTAGTATCTTGTCCAGTACATTTACCAGCCAAGGTTTGATCCACCAACCTTCTGATTAGTAACTGACCTGCTCCCCTCCTGAGCTACAGGCACCCCCAAATGGACTGAAATCATGGAACCAAAAATCTGATTCATATTGGACACAATGACAATCCACTGGTCTACAAAGTGCAGCATAGAGGTGACCGAAAAAAAACCACATGTAAAAGTAGTAGTACAGACCATAAACACAGAGTCCAGGTGTGTTTGACGCTGCTGTGCAGACTGACCAGTGGAGACCTCTGCTCTCTCCTTGTCCACTCTGTGGAGAAGTAGTGTATAATTAGGTCATGTTATGTCTGTCCACACACAGACGCAAGGTCCATGAAGTGATTTTTTGATGGGTTCAGTGAATACGATGACTCCCTGCAATGGTGATCTCACTGAAAATTAAAAACTCAGTTTTCAGATGTCTGTAGCTTTCCGCTCAGTTTTTTTTAGTCCCAACAGCTCTTACCATCTCGTGCATTAAGCTTTCCCTCCATGCTGAGATGCCCTGGAGCAAGGTACTCTCTTTGCACCAGTGACTGGTTTGAAGTGACAACTTTCTGACTTTTTAGCCTCCAGGGGTCCAGAGTCGACTGCGGATTGAAACTCAGACTCTGGGGAGGCCCTGGAGAGAGTTACTGTCTCTAAACGGGCCAGCTTTTGAGGAACGATTACATTATTTATGGGTTTGTCTCTCTACTTACAATGGACGAATGAAAAACAATTCCCTTCGGATAGAATTGATTTAGCTTGTCGTACTGGAGGAGCAGGTGACACAGGTCACCGGGCTAGTGGCTGCTGAAATAGAGGCTGAACTAAGGGCAACTGAAGTAAAGGTTGAAATGACAACTGTGGTGGAGTTGGAGACTGAGCTTGAGGCCGGGCGGCTAACTGAACTTGAGGCCGGGCGGCTAACTGAGCTTGAGGCCGGGCGGCTAACTGAGCTTGAGGCCGGGCGGCTAACTGAGCTACAGGCTGCTGTGTAGGTGACACTGGAAACTGGGTTGAAGGTAGCTGAGCAGTAGACTGAACAGGCGATAAGCAGTCATTGTCCTTTGCCGTACAGAACATAACCCCTGAGTAAACAGTCCCACAGTTCAAACCAATACTATTGTCCTGTCCACTCACCACAGCCGGCCGCTCTGAAATCCCTAGGTCCGACTGTGGTGAGGAGCGTTGACGGCGTGAGCGCCGTTTCCCTTGTGAAGGCTGTGTTGACAGGCCGGGCAGAGCATCCTCCATCAGGACAGGCAGCGAAGCATGAGTTGCAGGGTGGGTGGTAGCAACCGGGGGGTGAAGACAAAGTTCGTTCAGAACAAAATTCTGTGCGAGTGGATGAAGTGAGCTGAGCAACCAGGGGAGACCAGAAACTAAGCGCTGCAGCCGATTAGCTATGGCCTGACGGAATTCTCTCCCCTCGTGCTCCAGCCATAAGTTGATTAATTTATCCACAGAGTTAATAATATCCCCCCCGAAGCTCCTCGGTCGGGTTGAATGCTGCTGGGTCCATTGTGGCCGGTTCGTACTGTCACGGCTGCCGAGCTGAGCCGTGTGATGTTGGAGGGAGAAAGGACCCAAAATGCAGGCAGTAGATGATAATGCTAGTGATGTTTATTTACAAAGTGGCGTAGTGGCAAAACAGGCAATGAGGGATGACAAAACTAAAGAAACCTAAACTGGGAAAACTAAACAACAAACCTTAAATGATACCAAACGGGGTGAGAGGCAGAGAGACGAGGAACAGGGCACCGTGGAACACAGACAAACCGGCAACAAGCAGGAGAACACACAGGGCTAAAATACACACAGCAGTAATCAGGGGATGAGAGACAGGAGGGCAACACACCTGGGAGAAATCAGAGCCGACGGGACAGGGGAAACGTAAACTGAACACACTCACATGAGACAGGGACCTTCAGAATAAAACAGGAAACTCAGACACAGAGAACCAGACAAGGCACTGAACTAAAAAGACAGGTTCACAAACAGACAGTGTGACACCATAGACAGGCAGAACACAGAAGTGGGATCAGGGCAGGCACAGAACAGAAACCTAACAAATGGCAAATCATAACAGAATACATACTCAGAATAAACAAACGCATAAAGAAACACAAAACCCTGAGTCGGCAGGCTCAGGACCATGACACTATGTATGTATGTGGTTTTATGTCACGACGGCCAATACAGGTTAAAGGACTCAGGTGCAGACACCACTCTGAAGCTCGGAGGATGAGCAAAAAGCAAGATTTTATTTCAGCAAGCGAAGGTGACACAAGGGAAAATAGTTAAAGGCAAAAACACTAAACAAGAACAAAAGGCGAGAGGAATAAATCTAACCTCAGGAGTTACTCAAACTAAAAACTAACATGATGCTACAAACTCAGGGGACTAAGAAAGTGAGATTAAACACACTCTATGGCAGGTAAGAAACTCAGTCACTCTTGGTGGCGCTGTCACTTGGTGTTCGCTCTCTCTGCGGTAGAGTATCACTTCCAGTTCCTGCTCAAACACAGTGATGTTTTTGAGTAGCTTATCTGCTTAGCAATTTAATTAAAAACTTTAAATACATTCTTTTTCATAGTATAATCTTCATGTGTTTCATCCGAAGCACACTTTCTGTGTACTCACTACCTAATTTATAGCCAAAGTTTTCACTCACTGTGTCTGTACTGTTTTGCTAGCTTAGCTCGTAGCCGACTCGCTACCACCATGGCTACTTCACCTGTCCCTTCTGCACTTTCCTGCTTATTGTGTCAGATGTTTAGTTACTCCTCGGCCTCCTTTAGCAGTAATGATACTTGTAACAAATGTAGCATATTTGCAGCTCTGGAGGCCAGGATTACTGAATTGGAGACTCGGCTTCGCACCTTTCATTCACCTGTAGCTACCCAGGCCCCTGTAGCTGGTGCAGCCGAAGATAGCGTAGGCCCCGCTAGCTGTTCCCCGGCAGACCCTAAGCAGCTGGGGAAAGAGGGCGGCTGGGTGACGGTGAGGAGGAAGCATAGTCCTAAACAGAAGCCCCAGGTACACCACCAATCTGTTCATGTGTCTAACGGTTTTTCCCCACTCGGCGACACACCTGCCGGGGGTCAAACTCTGGTAATTGGTGATTCTGTTCTCAGACATGTGAAGCTAGAGACACCGGGAACCATATTCAGTTGTCTTCCTGGGGCCATAGCAGGCGACACTGAGGGAAATTTAAAACTGCTGGCTAAGGGTAAACGTAAATTCAGTGAAATCATAATTCATGTCGGCAGTAATGACACCCGGTTACGCCAATCGGCGGTCACTAAAATCAATATTGAATCAGTGTGTAACTTTGCCAAAACAACGTCGGACTCTGTCGTTTTCTCTGGTCCCCTCCCAAATCAGACCAGGAGTGACATGTTTAGCCGCATGTTCTCCTTAAATTGCTGGCTGTCTGAGTGGTGTCCCAGAAACAGTGTGGGCTTCAAAGATAATTGGCAAACCTTCTGGAGGAAACCTGGTCTTGTTAGGAGAGACGGCATCCATCCCACTTTGGATGGAGCAGCTCTCATTTCCAGAAATATGGACAAGTTTATTAAACCCCCCAAAATATGACTATCCAGAGTTGGGACCAGGAGTCTTACACGCCTCTCTGCAGCTTCTCTCCTCCTGGTACCCCCCCCCCCCCCCCCCCCAAAAAAAAACCAAAACAAAAAAAACCAAAAAAAAAACCATCTCCATCTCCATTATGTCAGCTCCCAAACAGACAAAAGATAAACTAAAAACCAGCAATAAACAACTTAAACATAAAAAATCACAAAGAAAGATCTATACAGTATCCACATCTGAACCAAAGAGTAAAACAGTGAAATGTGGATTATTAAATATTAGGTCTCTCAACTCCAAGTCTCTGTTAGTACATGACTTAATAATTGATCAACAAATCGACTTACTCTGCCTTACAGAAACCTGGTTGCAGCAGGATGATTATGTTAGTTCAAATGAATCAACACCCCCGAGTCATTCTAACTACTAGAAATCTCGAAGCACAGGCCGAGGGGGCGGTGTGGCAGCAATTTTTCACACCAGCCTATTAATCAACGAAAAACCAAGACAGACTTTTAATTCATTTGAAAGCCTGATGCTTAACATTGTCCACCCCAGCTGTAAAACTCAGAAACCAGTCTTACTTGTTATCATCTATCATCCACCTGGGCCTTACACAGAGTTTCTCTCTGATTTCTCAGACTTTTTATCTGATTTAATGCTCAGCTCAGATAAAATAATTATTGTGGGTGATTTTAACATCCATGTAGATGCTAAAAATGACAGCCTCAACACAGCATTTAATCTGTTATTAGACTAAACTGGCTTCTCTCAAACTGTAAAAGAACCCACCCACCACTTTAATCACACTCTAGATCTTGTTTTAACATATGGCATAGAAACTGAACATTTAACAGTGTTTCCTGAAAACCCTCTCCTGTCTGATCATTTTCTGATAACATTTACATTTACAATAATTGATTACACAGCAGTGAAGAGTAGACTCTATCACAGTAGATGTCTTCCTGAAAGCGCTGTAAGTAAGTTTAAGAATATAATCCACCCACTGTTATCATCTTCAATGCCCTGTACCAACACAGAGCAGAGCAGCTATCTGAACGCTACTCCAACAGAGGTCGATCATCTTGTTAATAATTTTACCTCTTCACTACGTACGACTCTGGATACTGTAGTTCCTGTGAAAACTAAGGTCTAAAATCAGAAGTACCTGACTCCGTGGTATAATTCTCAAACACGTACCCTAAAGCAGATAACTCGTATGCTGGAGAGGAAATGGCGTGTCACAAATTTAGAGGATCATCATTTAGAATGGAGAAATAGTTTGTTGCTTTATAAGAAAGCCCTCTGCAAAGCCAGAACGTCTTATTATTCATCACTGATTGAAGAAAATAAGAACAACCCCAGGTTTCTCTTCAGCACTGTAGCCAGGCTGACAAAAAGTCAGAGCACTGTTGAGCCAACAATCCCTTTAACGTTAACTAGTAATGACTTCATGAACTTCTTCACAAATAAAATTTTTATTATTAGAGAATAAATTACCAATAATCATCCCACAGATGTAATATTATTTACAGCTACTTTTAGTACCATTGATGTTAAGTTTGACTCTTTTTCTCCAATTGATCTTTCTGAGTTAACTTCAATAATTACTTCCTCCAAACCATCAACGTGTCTTTTAGACCCCATTCCTACAAAACTGCTCAAAGAAGTCCCGCCATTAATTAATGCTTCAATCTT